GAGCCTCGGGCCACTCCCCTCTTCCAATGGGAGCTCGAGGTGGGCGTGGTTTACGCGGAGGAGGGGCGTGGTTTGTGCACGAGAGGGCGTGGCCTGCGGGGAAGGCGCGCCGCACCTCTTTGAGGCTGAAGTGCATGCGGGCGAGGCGTCCCGTCTGCCACCGGCTCCTGTCACAAAGGCGGCCCCGCGTCCCGGGACTCTGGAACCTCCTTCGAAAGCACGGACGAGGCGTCCGCCAAGCGCCTGGACCCTCTCGGTGAAGGCCGTGGTTTCTCCGCGCTCCGTATTGAGACCCCTACCCCCACCGTGTTGTGTTGTCCCCCGGGACTCCCTCTGTGGACGACTTCACAGATGTCCCCAAAGTCACCCACGTGGCCACAATTCCTTCCTTCCGAGGAGGAAACAAACGATGCCTTAGAGATTCCCCGGCTCCTCCTCGGGTCCGAAGTCGAGACTTTCAGTCGGGGCGGGGCTTGATGGCGTCCCGGGGGGACAGCGACATTGGGACTGACTCCACAGAGTGACCTTGTTGGTTTAGAGACTCTAAAGGCATCCTGCCCTGCGACTGTTTGTTTTGGGTCTGGTTTTGGATTTAGATCTCTCAAGAGGCTAATTGGTGCTGGATCCTGAGTTTCTGCTTCCCCCGGGGTCTTTAAAGCAGTTGCCCAGAGGCCATCGTGGGCCAGGCCCAGACAATAACCAAATGGCTCTTTTCCTACTCGGGCCCAGTCTATAAGTGGATCCCGATTGTGAAAGCTTTTATGGTTGGAAGGGGTTGGCTTTTGGAGGAGGGAGAGCTTTGAACCTTCCCTGGAGTCCTCACTGGGACACGTCAGTTTCCGCAGGGAGAAGGGGCACGGGTGGGAGGATGCCCGGAAATAGCAGAGATGATCATCGTGGCAATGTGGCCTCTGCTTGTGTAAAATAGGGCAGGGCCTGGCGCAGAGGAACTGGGTTAACTATTTCATTTCACTTCATCGACACCTGCCTTGAGAGCAAGTGTGTACCAGCAGATGGCATAATGATTATTACATCGCTGGACTCATGTAGTCGACAGCGGTTCGAGTCCTGGACCTGGCAACTTAAAACTCACGCCAGGCACACCTGCGTGCATGCATGCACAGGGTCCCAAGAAGAGAATGGAGGAGAAGGGATTGCAGCATGGCCATCTCTCCTGGGGGCGGTGATTTCTCAATTTTTGTCTCTCTGTCTCTGTCTCTCTGTCGAGCACATGCACCCCATAGCAATAACCTCTCGGAAAAATCAAAGAATATGTGGCTAGGGACTTGGACGTGGTGAGTGCTGCTCATTTTAGTGGTGGCTGAGGATCTGATGGACCTTTTATTGTCAAGGAGGCTGCGAACCCTGATGTTTCTTTTAGAAAACTTAAAGATAGTTGGAAACTGCACACACCATTACTTAACCAGGCAACGGTGGGTGATTGTCATACCTCAAGGGCTCATCCCGGACTCTGAGAAAGTAGAGCAATCCTGTCCAGAGTTTTAGCAACAAGCTGCAAGACGAGTCTTTTGTTATTATAATATAACTTCCTTCCAGAAAAAAAGAGAGATTTCTATCTTCCTAGGTGATCCCTGCTCTTTTCTATTGGTTTCTCTCCCATGGAGACACAATTCTAGATGTTTCTGTTGCTTAGTGTTTGGCTGGGCCTCTCGAAGGCCCTTCCCATTCCACCTTAAGTACATTAATAGCATCCACGCTCTGCCTGGTTGTCAAGCAAATAGCCTTGGTTGCTAAGAGACCTTGGAAGTCATCAGTGATGGAGACAGAATACCCCTCCCAAAAGGGGCAGACAATGAAATCTACCAGTACCAGCCCCAAGGAAAACCCACACTTTGTTGGGGAACAATTACTGGTTAATCAATTTCTCCTTCATTTTGGCTGAATCTTTTTTTCCAGGAAATGACTCCAGCTGCTGCAATTATATATATATATATACATACACACACATATAATTTATTTTATTTTATGTATTATTATTATTATTTAATTTGACCAGAGAGAGAGAGGGAAAGTGAGAAAGCAAGCCGCCAGATCTGGGACTCAAACTGCAGCTGACCATGTGTGAGTCCAGTGCCTTAACCACCCAGTCCCCTAGCTACAATTTTTTATTTCTTAAACAATCATCTTCAATTGCACAGGAGAGAAAAAAAAAAAAAAAAAAAACGAAAGTTTTAACCACTTCATTTGTATACACTGGAAAAAAAGAAGAAATTCGTATTATTTCCTGTTTCGATAACCTTATTTTTGACTTTGTGGCTCAGGACATGAGAGATCTGAGAAGGAGAGTAGAGAGGTTTTTTGTTTTTGTTTTTGAGGGGGGCGAGAGCAGTGATTATGTAATTGTAGGCATTCCTATTGTGAGGGGACACGGGACAGGTGCTCTGGCTTGCTTTTGCTGAAATTTTACGTGAACTAATGTGAAAACCCATACCTCCTAGAAAGAACAGCAGGTGGGATCAGCAGTTGGTGTAATGGCTATGTCACTGGACTCCCATGTAGTCGACCGCAGTTGGAGTCCTGGACCCGGTGGCTTCAAACTCACACCGAGCATGTGAGCATGCGTTCCCAAAATCCCAAGAGGAGAATGGAGAAGGGATTGGGGCGTGGCCATCCCCCCTGGCGGGTGATTTCTCGCTTTCTGTCTCTCTGTCTGTCTTTCTGGCGAGCACACGTGCCCTAGAGCAAAAACCTCTCAAAACAAATAAAAAAAGAAAAGACCAGGTAACAGTGGCAGGGACGCGATACTAATGTAAGTCCTTTCAAACAATTACTTACTTTATTATTATTTTAGATATGATTGCTTTAGGGTATATGTGCTTATTAGAGAGAGATAAAGGGAAATTGAAAAAGCAAGCCACCAGTTCAGGACTTGAACTGATGTCGACCATTTGGGAGTCCAGCACCCTAACCACCATGCCACCTGCTGGCCCCTAAAACTTTTTAAACATTGCACAGGCCAGCCTATGGGGTGGTGGTTAATGCAGCCATATCTCACAGGGGTGACCTTGTAGATACAAGTCCCAGAAAAACATGCAGGACACTTGTGCATGCCCCAAATCCCAGGAGAAACGAAGGCATTATATGGTGTGGCCATCACCTATGTGGGGTGCTCTCTCACCCCTGTTCCCAGCAAGTGCATGCATGGACACTCGAGCAGATTAAAAAAACCTAATAAAAACATCGTCTGGGGGCCATCAGGTAGCATGATGGTTAAAGCTCTGGACTCCCACATGGAATACATATATATAAAGAATTATTTAATTCCATATGTTATTTTTAAATTTGACCAGAAAGAGACAGAGAGAAAGGGAAAGTGAGAAAGCAAGCCCCAAGGTCAGGGACTTGAACTGAGGTTGGCTATGTGGGAATCCAGCCTCTTTAACCACCACACCACCTGCCGGCCCCGATTTTCTTTTCTTTTTCTTTTTTTGAGAGGTTTTGCTATAGGGTACATGTGCTCACCAGAGAGACAGAGAGATAGAAAGTGAGAGATCACCCACCCACCCCAGGAAGGATAGCCACGCCGCAATCCCTTCTCCTCCATTCTCCCCTTGGGATCTTGGGCACACACACACACATGGCGTGAGTTTAAGCCACCGGGTCCGAGACTCGAACCATGGTCAGCCACATGGGAGTCCAGCAGCATAGCCATTACGCCAACTGCTGGTCCCGTGGCTCCAATTTTCAAAACAAAAAAGAAACACCATCTTCTGCGGGGTTAGCCAGCTGTTGGATCCCCTGTTACAGAGCTAATTAGTGGTGTCTTCGTCTGGGAGTGGCCTTGAACCTCTTTGCTAGCAAATGTTTGGGGACTTGTTCGATCCTCTGGGAGGGAGTCTTCTCGATCCTTGTCCCTCCTCGAAGGACCTTCAGGTATTACTATTTCAGCTTTCCCGGAGTCTGTGAGCTGGGCCCTTAGGCACAGTGGGAGGTGATAGCAGCTGATCATTGGTAACCACAGCCCACAGCTGCGGTCTGTCCCCTAGTGAGGTGACACAGACTCCTCCCCCAGGGCTATAATTGCCAGTATGGCTTGCCTGAACTTCTTGCCTGAACTTCCCTTTTTTAGCCCTTCTGAGAATTCTGGAATTTCGATTGCTTCGTGCCCACCCTGTGTGTCAGCAACTAGGAGTGAGTCATTTCCTTTCGGCTGGGTCATTGTTCTGCTCTGAGTCAGAAGTTGTTCTGGGGTGTGGGCGGGAAGGTAGAGGCACCTTTGGGGGACACATCCTGTCTGAGCTTGGTGGAGCGATAGAATTACAGGTCCCCGTAACCACAGCAGGTTCCACAGCTCAACCCATTTGCTCTGTCTCCTCCCCTATTGTTTTCCTCTTTTTATTTTTTGTTAGCACGGGCGTAGTCACCCCCCACACACAATCCTTTCTCCATGTCTCCCTCCTATAGGGATTTGGGGCACGCATGCACTTGTCCCTGGAGTGATTTTCTTTTTCTTTTTTTTTTTAAAGAATTTTTTGGGGGACCAGTAGTTAGCGTAATGGCTATGTCGCTGGACTCCCATGTAATCGACCGCGGTTCGAGTCCCGGACCTGGTGGCTTAAACTCACGCCGGACGTGTGTGCGTGCCCAAGATCCCGAGAGGGTCCCCCCTTCTTTTCTTTTTAAATGGCAGAGGGCACATGCCCTTGTAGAGAGACAAAGAGGGGGGAAGGGAGAGGGGAAAAGCACCACCTACTGGGTGTAGTCACCCTACGAATTCCTTTCTCCTCCATTTCTCCATCCAGTGGGGACTAGGGGTACACGTGTGCACCAGGAGTGTTTCAGACTAAGGGGCGAGAACTCCAGCCATGGATGGCCATGTGGGATCCAGCTCCTCTAACTTTTAGGTTACAGGGCTGCCCCGGGAGACTTCCCTGAATAATGCCTTGTGCCCATGATCCGAGGCTGGCTAAGACTGGGAATGTATCATGGCAACAAGACCCTATCAGGGGGACCAGCAGTTAGCGTAATGGCTATGTCGCTGGACTCCCATGTAGTCGACCGCAGTTCGCATCCTGGACCTGGTGACTTAAACTCATGCCAGGCGCGTGTGCATGCGTGCCCAAGATCCCGAGAGGAGAATGGAGGAGAAGGGATTGCGGCGTGGCCATCCCCCCCAGGGGCGTGATTCCTGTCTCTCTGTTTCTCTCTGTCTTTCTGGTGAGCGCAACGCGCCCTATAGCAAAAAAAACTCTCAAAAAAAAAAGAAAATTAAAAAAGACCCTATGGGGGGCGCTGTCTGTTGGCTTCTCTGTCATCCATGGGTGAAATAAAAACAAAGCTTCAGACCATTTTTACAGACAGTTCATTTTTCTAAACAGTTTTAATGTGTCCAAATCATTTCATTTGTAAGAAATTGTCTTTTAGAAAAAATAATTATTTTTATATAACATGTATTTATTTATTTATTTTAATTTGACCATAGAGGGACAGAATGAGAGAGAGAGAGCAAGCAAGAAAGCAAGCCACCAGGTCTGGGACTCAAACCATGGTTGGCCATGTGGGAGTGTCCAACCTCACTGGACTCCCACATGGTTGACCACAGTTCAAGTCCTGGACCTGGTAGCTTAATACACACTAGCTGTCTGTGCATGCGTGCCCAAAATCTCAAGAAGAGAGTGGCAATCCTCCCTAGGGGGCTAACTTCTTGCTTTCTGTCTCTCTGGCGAGCACACGCACCCTATAGCAAAAATCTCTCTTAAAA